GCCCTCCTGTGCCTGGCCCTCAGTGACTCACTTCTATTTCTCTATTTAGTCAGGAGGAGGAAAATGCTTAATCTGGAAGTTGCTTGTATTTTTTTTTTCAGTCACAGTCTACTGATCAAAACTTTCATGTGTCACATGATCAAAAAGTTGGTCTGGAACTGTGATTCTTTTGAGTATTTAATGCTATGATAAAACCTTATATAAGGGAGGTGTAAGGATTCAGGCATTATATTAGCCTGCACCTGTCACCTGGCAGAATGCACTCAGGTAGTATCCTGGTCAGTTCATGGTTCCATGATTGTGTAGTTAGTCTGTGTGTAGGTGCAAAGGACCCCTTTAAAAGACAGAACCCTGCCCACTTACACTCTCTTTTCCAGCTCTCTTCCCCAAGGTTCCCCTGGGGCAGACAGGACTTTTCCTGTCTCCCTCTTTTCTGTCCTCTCTCTGTGTCTCTTTACCTCTTCTCTTTCCTTCCCCCTCCTTCCCCTTAATAATAAAACTTCTCATTTAAGCTCTGTCTGCCTGGTGTGTTTGTCCCCCACCTCAGTCACCCTCGCCTGCCATGGAATCTGCCATGGTCCCTCACGAAGGGTCCCCTCAAGCTTTATCCTAACAGGAGGGGGCATGAATTAGACAATAATGACATGTTAAAATTCCATCCCATAGCAACCTGTCTACCTCTTCTAATGACCCAAGCACAAACCAAGGTCCAATTCTGTCAGAGTACACCCTGGGTAACCAATGAGTTTATTGGGCTTCCCTATAGAACATAGGTAAGGGATTTCCTACAGGGGTGTGAGTGCTCCTCCTCCCAATGGTCACAATTGGAAAGCCTTTACCTAGAGTGTTAGTGCAAATAAAGCAGAATTACATACATAGATGTCTTAGGGTTACTATTTCTGTTTTTTAAAATAATTTATTATTTTTATGTATGTTGGCATTTTGTCTATATGTATGTGTGAGGGTGTAGGACCCCCCTGGAACAGGAGTTATAGACAGTTTGTGAGTTTTATAAACAGTTGTGAGTTGTCATGTGAGTGCTGGGAATTGAACCCAGGTTCTCTGGAAGAGCAGCCAGTGCACTTAACCACTGAGCCGTCTCTCCAGCCCCGGCTTCCTATTTCTGAAATGAAATACCATAACCAAAGCAACCTGGGAGGAAAAGGTTTATTTGGCTTAAGTTTACACATCGAAGTTCATCATCAAAGGAAGTCAGGACAGGAACTCAGGCAAGAACCTGGAGGCAGAGTTGATGCAGTATCCATGGAGGAGTACCCTATGCTTTCTTACAGAACCTTGCTCAGGGTGTTTTCTTATAGAAGACAGAACTACCAGCCCAGCAGTGTCTCTACAATGGGCTGGGCCCTCTCACATAAATCACTAATTAAGAAAATGCCCTATAGCCTGATCTTAGGGAGACATTTTCTCAATTAAGGCTCCTTCCTCTTTGATGACTCTAGCTTGTGTGGACTTGACACAAAACTTGCCCACACAGTAGGTGGTAGGTGGAGGCTAGATGCTACTCGGGTAAGGGTCTTGTGACTCTCCTCACACCTCCACAAAGCTGTGTTAACCGTCCAGGAGCCAGCTGGGTTAATCATTTTGCAAGAGGCCAACACTGAACACCCCAAGATGGCAGTTGTTTGGTTGCATAATAAAACCCATTACTTTGTATGACAAAAAAAGTCAAAACAAAAAAACACCAACACCACACACATACGCACAAGCACACACAAAACACTTGCATGGCAAGAGGGAGAAATCAGAGAGTTTTAAGGTATTGTCACAAAAACTCAGTTTTCATCTTAAAGGAAAATAAGATAGTTTGTTCTAGAGCCATATTTGAGTGACCATGACCTGGGAATATAGATTTAGGCTATCCTAAATCTTAAGAACATGGAAGCAGTTACATGAAGTTTGAAACACATTGGTGAATACAACAGTATCATGACATTCTTTAGCTTTTAGGTTAGTGGAGACTAGTGGTCTGCTAAGTTAATAAATTTCAAAAGGTTTTTATCTGTTAGTCACAGAGTGTTAATTGACAGAGATATATGCAAGAAATGGCTGTTCTGGGAGTTAAATCTAGCTCAGATAAGGTGATAAGCTTCTGAATCTGCAACATTCCAACCTCTCCACATCACTAAGTTTTTTTTTTTTTGTTTTGTTTTGTTTTTTTTTTAATCTTTATTTTATGTGTATTGGTGCCTGCATGTATGTCTGTGTGAGGGTAACAGATTTTAGAATTACAGTTGTGATTCTGGGAATTGAACCCTGGGTTCTCTAGAAGAGCAGTCTGTGTGCTCTTAACCACTGAGCTGTCTCTCCAGTCCCATCATTGGCATCTAATCAGTTAATCAGTCTCCACAGACACAGCTTCTTTCCAGAAATTCTTGTTGGTTGAGGGAATGCCATCTCTGCCACAGTTGGACTTTGTTTCGTAAACTTCTTTGAGTCCTATACTTTACTTTAGCCCTGGCTTTTCCTTAAGAATAAACTTCCCAGATTTTTTATTTTTTTTATTAAAATGCTGGAATATAGGGACTTGGCATGCAGTGGGAAAATGCTTTGCTACTGAGCTGCACCATGAGCCCAGATTTTTCTCATTAGTTCTTTCACATGAGAGACTAAAGACCTTTGGGTCTTAGAGTTATCTGCTACAGTGTCAATAATTAATCAATCCAAGATAGAAGTAATGATACATGCCTGTAATCTCAGCATTTGGGAAGCTGAGGCAGGAGAATCTTGAGTTTCAGGCCAACTTGAGGTACATAATGGACTCTAGGCTTTAAAAAAATCCCCGTTCGTTCCTTCGTGTGTGTGTGTGTGTGTGTGTGTGTGTGTGTGTGTGTGTGTGTGTGTGTGTGTGTGTGTGTACACATTTGGAGCCCAGGGTTGACATCAGGAATCCTCCTTGATTAAACTCTTCCACCTTATTTGTTGAGCCAGGATCTCTCTTTTTTTTTGTTTTGTTTTTGGTTTTTTTGAGATAGGGTTTCTCTGTATTGCTTTGGAGGTTGTCCCGGAACTCTTTGTCGACCAGGCTGGCCTTGAACTCACAGAGATCTGCCTGCCTCTGCCTCTCAGTACTGTGATTAAAGGTGTGTACCACTGACGCCCAAGCCACAGTCTGTTAATCAAACCCAAAGCACAACAATATAGCTGTTCTAGCTAGCGAGCTGGCTCTGGGGGAATCTGCCTTCTGAGGGTAGACCTTGGCTTCTGGAATCTGAACCTCTAAGCCATCTCCTCAGCCTGTTTTTTTTTTTTTAAAGCTTTATTTTTAAAAATTATTTGTTTATTTTATGTGTATGGGTGTTTTGCCTGCATATATGTATGTGCTCTATGTGCATGTATGACACCCACAGAGATCAAAACAGAGTGCTAAATCCCCTGCGACAAGAGTCACAGATAGTTATGAGCTGCCATGTGGATGCTGGGAATTGAATCTGGGTCCTCTGGAAAAGCAACAAGGGCTCTTAAACAGCTGAGCCATTACTCCAGCTCCTGTATTTTATTGATTTTGGGTTTTTTTTTATTTGTTTGTTTTTTGAGACAGGGTTTCTCTGTGTAACAGTCCTGGTTGTCCTGGAACTCACTGTGTAGACCTGGCTGGCCTTGAACTCACAGAGGTCTGACTTCCTGAGTGCTGGGATTAAAGACATGTGGCACTTGCCTGATACATGTCCTTTTTATTGATATCTTTTTGTTTTATTAAAATATTTTTATTACATTTCTTTTGTGTCGGTATGTGTGTGTGTTCCATGGTGTGCATATGGAGGTCAGAGGACAACTTGACAGGATTCTCTTCTCTCCTTCTGTATTGAAATCAGGCCATTGCAGGCTCTGTACATCTTTTTTTAAAAATATTTTTTGGGTCTGACATAGTTCATCTGATAAAATCAACAATTCTGAAAGTTGTCCTGTGATCTCCACATAACATTAGCACATGTTCATTATATGTAATGTTTGGTTTCATGATAGCATTTTCATACATATATATTTACATTTTCTTTTCCTTTGTTTTTTTTGTTTTTTGAGACAGAGTTTCTCTGTAGGTTTGGAGCCTGTCCTGGAACTCACTCTGTAGACTAGGCTGGCCTTGAACTCACAGAGATCCTCCTGCTTCTGCCTCCTGAGTGCTGGGAAAAAAGGTGTGCTCCACTACCGATGGGTTGACAGATCCAGTCTTGCTTGTCCAGCTCTTGTGCTAGTAATCACAACTGCTGTGAGATTGAATGCAGGTGTGATGCCTTGTTTTGAGAAGACAGTTCCACTTCATGTTGCTCTGTCCTCTGGCTCTTAACATTGTTTCTCCCTTGTCTTCCATGATGATCTCTTTGTCTTGGCAGAGGAGGTGATACAGATTCTCTTATGTCTGAATGTTCAAAAGCTCTTTATTTTCAACTCTCTGATCTGTTATGAATTTCTGCAGTTTCTGCTGTTACTGGGACTTTTTAATGTAGGAAATTTGTTTATTGGGGGAAGGGATGGGAGTAAGAGAAGGGAAGAGAAAGAGGGAGGGAGAGAGAGATGAAAGAGAGAGAGAGAGAGAGAGAGAGAGAGAGAGAGAGGAGAGGAGAGGAGAGAGACCTGTCTCAGAAAAATGGCAGAAAGAGAGCTTCTGGGACCTTTTAATTAAAAAAAAATATTATATTTGTGTGTGATTGTGTGTGTGTGTGTGTGTAGCACACAGGCACACTCATCCCGAATGTGGGAATCAGGACAATTTCAGACATTGGTTCTTTTCTTAAGCATGTGGGTTTTGGGGATTGAACTCAGGTTATGTGGCTTGGCACCAGGCACCTTTGCCTGCTGAGTCATCTTGCAGGCTCTTGGGATCTTTTAGTTAATAAATATTTTTAGTGTTAATGGAGTTCTATTAGTACCCTCACAAACTCTCTCTTTTATGGTTTCCACATATATGCCTTGTTAAAGCTTTCGTTCTCTTCATGGTGTGTGTGTAAAACTTAATTTTTTTGGTCTTTTAATGAGCATAGGTGATGCCATGGAGAATGGAAAACCTGGTCCAGTGCAGGTTGTTTTGGTTCACAAAGAGCAACATTCCTTTGAGCTAGAAGAGAGAGCGTTGGCCAGCATCCTCCTGCAGGATCACATCCGAGATCTTGATGTGGTAGTAGTATCAGTGGCTGGTGCCTTTCGAAAGGGCAAATCCTTCATTCTGGACTTTATGCTACGATACTTATATTCTCAGGTAAGGAAAAATTAGTTTATTTCAAAGTAGAAAGTGAGTAAAATAAGCTCATGAATTAGAATTACTTAAGATTTGGTGAGATTTGGGGTGTATAGTATAATGGTAAAGTGCTTGCCTAATGTGTGTAAAGCCCTGTATTTTATCCCCAGCACCTCAGAAAGCAAAACCAAAGATGTAAATAGAACATCTTATTTCTCTGTAGAATGAAGGTGGTCATTCAAATTGGTTGGGTGATCCAGAAGAACCACTGACAGGATTTTCATGGCGAGGAGGCTCTGACCCAGAAACCACTGGGATTCAGATTTGGAGTGAAGTTTTCACCGTGGAGAAGCCAGGTGGGAAAAAGGTAAGGATGTTAAAAATAAAAGAAAGAAAAAGAATAACCAAATGAGATTTTATATTTATTTTTTCTTGAGATAGGATTTTTCTTGATAAGGTAGTCAGGTGGGTCTGGAACTCACTAGGTACCACAGGCTGGCCTTGAATCTAGAGAACCCTGTCTTAGCCACCTATGTGCTAGGATCATAGTCGCATACTCCCATGCTTGGTTCTAGATGAGAACTTCATTCAAGATATTCTATGTTAATTTAATCAAAAAATAATTTTGATCCTTTTATGTCCATGGTAACTTCTATGTTCTAATGTCCTAATTGCTTTTCTGTTGAGTTCTTTGGCAGTAAATCCTATAATGTACTATCTAGCTCCTTTACTAAGTGGAAATGTTGATTCAGGGAAGTGTCAGTATATATTTTATAATAAAAATGTTTGCTTTGTAAAACTGATTACTTATTCATACCTCCCTTCCATCTTTGAATTCCTTTTAATTAAAAAACCACTCTGCTGTTTATTAAAAGAAAGCAACTTAGGCAGAATGTGCTGCTTGTACCTATAGCACCGGGGACTGAGGTAGCTTTGGAGCCTATCCTGGCACTTGCTCTTTAGAACAGGCTGGCTTCGAACTCACAGAGATCCGCCTATCTCTGCCTCCCGTGTGCTGGGATTAAAGGCGTGCTCCATCACCGCCTGGCCAGCCTAGGCTTCTTAAGATGTACATAAAGGAGCTTGGCACGATGACTTGTACCTGTAATCCCTATACTCAAGAGGCTGAAATAGGAAGTTTGGCATGCATTTGAGGTCAGCATGGGCTGTAAAGTGTGGGCCACTGTTTCACAAACAACAAAAAAAGTGGTTTAGAAGTTTTACTGTGCTAGTGTGTGCTGTGAGACCATTTCAATGTTGATTACACATGTAGCTTCTGCTCTTCAGAGAGCTTCCAGCATATCCCCTTGTTTCCTCTATAGGCTCATTTTTCTAATTAGCAGGTATGTGTGACAGTGAACTTTTGTTAAACTGGGATATCATGCTGATTCAGAATTCATCCAGATTCAGTGGTTTTTAGCATATACATACAGCTGAATAGGTATCATCACCATCTTACTCCAGAACATTTCATTACCTCAGAAGAAGCTTCCTGTATCATTAGCAGTCACTCTCCATTTCCATCTTCTTCCAGCCCCTTGTCTCTACTAATTTACTATTGACTGAGCTGTTAGGATGTACAACTAGATGGAGAACTAGTTGTGCTTGTATCTCACTTTCCTTTCTCTCCCTTTCTTTCTGTCTTCTCTCTTTCCATGATTTTCTGTCTTTTCTGGTATTGGGAATTGAACTTAGTGCTATGTGGATGCCAGGCAAAAATGTTCTAGTTCTCAGTTACATCTCTAGCATCTCCATGGAGCTGTCTATTCTGAACATATGGTACAAGTGAAATTATATGCTTTTTGGGCCTGTCCTCTCCATTCATCCTAAGTCTCTTACTTCAATAGCTCTTTACTCCCTCTCATGGCTGAACAGTATTACATTGTATGAAAATACCATACTTTTTTTAAAATCATCAGTTGTGAATGTTTGGACTGCTTGTGTCTTTTGTATATTACAAATAATGCTGCCTGTACATACCTTTAATATTAGTACTTGGGAGGCTGAGGCATGAGTTAAGGGTAGGTAGCTTGGGCTGTAATTTGAGGTCCTGTCTAAACTAACCTTTCCCCTCAAAATAAACAAAAAACCAGAGCTGGAGAGTTGGCTCAGTGGCCCAAGAACCTTAAACATCTATGTACAAGTTCTTCTAAGATTGAAGCTTTCTTGTATATATCCATATGTTTGCTTTTTGTGTCTGTGACAAATACCTGAGATATACAACTTAAGGGAGGAAAGATTTGCTGGGCAATGGTGGCATACACCTTTAATCCCAGCACTCAGGAGGCAGAAGCAGGTGGCAGGCAGATCTCTGTGAGTTTGAGACCTGGTCTATAAGAGCTGGGGGGGGGGGTGTGTTATTTATGTCACAGGTTCAGAAATTTCAGTCCTCAGCTGTTCATTGTGTGGACCTGAGTCTAAGCTGAACATGACAGGAAGCATATGATGAGGCAGGGTTGAATATCATGGTGGGAAGCAAGTGGAGGAGCAAAGAAGCTCACTTTGTGTAGTGGACAGGAAGCTGGAGGGGCTAGGGCAAACATATACCTCAGAGTTGTGTCCTGAGTCCCTACTTACTCATCCAATATGAACTTACCAGTGGGTCACCATTAATGAGGTGAGTGCCCTTACAATGCAGTCACCTCTTAATATGAGTTCAGCAGCTGAGGACTAAGTCCTCAGCAAAAGAGCTTGGGGAAAATGCTGTGTGTGTTTCTGTCACATGGCAATTCTGTAACTAACTTTATTATTATTATTATTAATATTTTTTAATTTATTTATTATGCAGGTATGTCTACAGGCCAGAAGAGGGCAGTAGATCTCATTATAAATGGTTGGGAGCCACCATGTGGGTGCTGGGAATTGAACTCAGGATCTCTGGAAGAGCAGCTAGTGCTCTTAACCACTGAGCCATCTCTCCAGGCACCTATTATTATTTTTTATGTGTATGGGTTAGTTATTCCTGCATGTATTTCTGTACAGTGTGCACGCAGTGCCTACAGAAGCCAAAAGAGGGCATTAGATCCCTGAATTGGAGTTTTGGATAGCAGCCAGTGCTCCTAACCACTGAATGACTCCAACCTGTGACTAACTTTAAAAAAGATGCCTAATACCTTTTAAAGACAGCTCTACTAACCTATGTGCATAACTAGTAATGCAGGAGGCTCTAGGTTCTACATATTTCCAGTCCTTGATACTGTTGTTTTCTTTCTTTTGAGTGAGATCAGATTCAAAATCAAAGCTGCCCTCCAATTTGATACCTTAGCCTCCTGAGTCCTGGGATTACAAGTGTGCACCAATGTGCTTGGCTTATTTGCCTGTTTTATGTATATTAACTTATTTGATGGCCTTGTATACGCCTCTGAATAGCCCCCAAAGCCTTTGTTTTGAGACCCTTCTCTCTTTCTATGTATGTATGTATGTATGTATGTATGTATGTATGTATGTATGTATGTATGTGCACACTATGAGTCGCAGTATTTTCATATAGGTTCTTGGGAATACAAACTCATTTTATAAAGTAAGTGCCTTACTGACAGAGCTATCTCCTCTCCAGCTATGTGTGTGTGTGTGTGTGTGTGTGTGTGTGTGTGTGTGTATAAAATAGCCAGTTTAGTAGGTGTGAAGTGGTAAATTTTTGTGGTTTTGTATTATAATATATCTATATCTATATTATAATTAATTTATATTTTACTAGTAACTAATGGCATTGAACATTTTTCAGGTATTCTTTGGAGTAATATCTATTCAAATCAAATCCAAAGTGCACAAAATTTTTTATGTGTCTGGGTATTTTGCTTTTGTGTATGTCTGTACCACATATATAACCTTCTATTTGTGAAGGCCAGAAGAGGGCATTGATCCTCTGGAACTGGAGTTACAAATGGTTGTGACCTGCCATGTGGGTGCTGGGAATTGAACCCTGGTCCTCTGGAAGAGTAGCAAATTTTCTTAACCACTGAACCATCTCTCCCTCCCATTGTGTGTCTTTTCCTAACCCCATTTTTTTTTTTTTTTTTTTTTTTTTTTTTGAGATGGGTTTATTTGTGTAACAGCCTTTGGCTGTTCTGGAACTCTGTAGACTAGGCTGGCTTCACATTCACCAAGATCTGTCTGCCTCTACCTCTGGAGTGCTGGGATTAAAGGTGTTCACCACCAACTTCCTCTAAGTTTCCCTTTTCTCTTTTTTTGGCCTCTACACATTCACTCACATAAATAAGGCATATAAAAAAAATTAGAAGCTGGGATCTTCATATGATAGAAAATGTGTTTGTCTTTCTGAGCCTGAATCACCTTGCTTAGTATACTATTTTTTATTCTTATCTGCCTTCTTTTCTTTCTTCCTTTTTTTAATCTACTTTCTTGGGAATTGCATTTTTCTTTATGGCTGAATAAAATTCTTTTGTTTACCTGTACCACATTTTTTTATTCATTCACAGTTTCTTACTGTGAATAGAGAAGCAATGAACATGGATGAGCATACATCTTTGTGGTAGCATATAGTCTTTTGGTATGCCTATGAGTGGTATAGCTAGATCATATGTGAGTTTTATTTTTAATTTTCAAGCCACTGATTTCCATAGTGGCTATTACAATTTATATTACCAATAACTTTTAGAATTTAATTTAAGAAAGACATTAAAGCATGAAATGCCTGGTGAATAGTGAGTAAGGCTGGTTATGACATTGGCATTTCCCTTTGGTGGGTTAATTTTATCTTTCTTCATGTTGCTGCATATGCCTGTGTTTTGTATCATTTCACAAGGTCAGAACAGATACTGCCCAGTGAAGTACTCTTACCAAAGGAAGGCACCTAATTGCATTTTTATGATAGAACCTACAAGCAGGTATTGGGTGGTTCATGTAAATGTTACTTTTTTTTTTTTTTTTTTTTTTTTTTGAGAAAGGGTCTTATTCTATAGCCCATGCTGGCCTTGAACTCCTTATGTAGTCCAGACTGTTCTTGAACATATGGGTGGCTATTCTCTTCCCCTAGCTTTTCAAGTGCTGGGATTATAGAATACCAGGTCCAACTGTTTACTTTTAATTTATTCTTTGCATTCTTCCTCTCTTTATCTTAACCTACTTTTGTGTTTCCTTTCCTTTTTTAGGTTGCAGTTGTTCTGATGGATACCCAGGGGGCATTTGACAGCCAATCAACTGTGAAAGATTGTGCTACCATCTTTGCTTTAAGCACCATGACTAGTTCTGTTCAGGTAAGATATCCAACAACCCCCCCCCCCCTTTCTTTCCCCCATCTTCCCTTTTCCCTTCCTCCCTCCTTTTTTCTGGGATTGAATCTAGGATCTTGACAGTGCTGGGCAACTATTCTACACTGAGCTCTCTAGTCTGTCAGTAATTTTCTGTTAACAAAATTCTTGTGGTTGTATATGAGTGTTCTTTTTAGACTTCTAGTTTGCTCTTCTGTGGCTGTGATAAATCACTGATTAAAACCAACTTGGGGAAGATAAGGTTTATTTGGCTTATACTTTTAGGTCATGGTCCATCATTGAGGGAAGTCAGGGCAGGAACTCAAGGCAGGAATCTGGAGATCTGGACACAGGAGCCATAGGGGAATGCTGCTTACTGGCTTTTTCCTGCTCATGCTTAGCTTTATAATATAACATAAAATTTCAGACGCACCTGTCTAGGGATGGTGCCACCTACTGTGGGCCGGACCCTCTCACATCAGTTACAAGAAAATCTCTTTCTGGCTCAGCAGTTAAGTAAGAGCACTGGCTAGCTAGTCGTTGGTGGCACATGCCTTTAATCTCAGCACTTGGGAGGCAGAGGCAGGCGGATCTTTGTGAGTTCGAGGCCAGCCTGGTCTACAGAGCTAGTTCTCTGTAGGCTCCAAAACAATACAGAGAAATCATATGTTGAGGGGGGAAAAAAGAGCTCTGGCTACTCCTTTAGAACACCCAGGTTCAATTCACAGCACTTGCTAGGCAGCTCACAACTATCTGTAACTCCAGTTCCAGGGGATCTTTGGCACCAGGCATGCATGTGGTGCATATACCTGTACATACAGGCAAAAGATCATACAAATAAAAAAGATAAATCTCAAAAAGAAAAAAAATCCCTTTTAATCATGGCCATAGGACAGTCTGAGTGAGGATATTGACACAACTTTAGGGTTGTGTCAAGTTGTTAAAAAAATTTAACCAGCACAAGCTACATGCACATTTAAACTGTTGAGCTCAAAATGAGTTTTTTCTACTTGGAATATTATATACAAAATATTCCAAGAAAAGTCCTCTTAAACCGTTTTAAACTATAAAGAAGGAATTTTTGGATTTTAACCCTATATTCTTATTTTTCCTAAAAGACTGATAGTACTGTGCTTTCTCTCTCTCCATATATATCTACACACACACTCTCATATGCTTAAATGCAAATCTTCCAGTGCTCTAAGCCTATTCTGGACTTGTTTGATGTAAGCTAGAGTGCTATCAATCTGGATTTTGTTTTCTAGATTTACAATTTGTCCCAGAACATTCAAGAAGATGATCTTCAACAGCTACAGGTAATAAAAAAGGGTAATGAGAATAGTGGCTGAAAGATAAAATATCAATTGTTTTCTATCCTATGTGGAATCTAGACATGCAGGTAGAAGGGGGAACTGTTTGAGGACAGGAAGGAGACCAGAGAGGAGGAGGGATGTGAGAAAACGGTGGTGGGCGGTGGGTGGGTAGGTGATGCAGGAAAGAGAGGCCCGATCATTGATGTTCCTGCTGTGTAAGCATGAGGACCTGAGTTTGAATCCCTAGCACTCAAAGAAAATGAACAGCCAGGAGTAGTGACACATGTCTTTTATCACAGCATTCATGAGTAGAGGCAGGTGGATTTCTAAGCTTGAGGTCAGAATAGTCTACACAGCATGAGTTCTAGCATGGTAGTCTGCTAATCCCAGTGTTAGAGAGGTAGAGATAGGACAATATCTAGAGTTCACTGGCCAGGCAACTGGTTAGCTCCAGGTTCAGTGAGAGACTCTGTCTCAAACTAAGGTTAAAAGGTATAGAAGAAATCTGATTATCCTTTGGTCTCACATACACATGCCACAACATATACACATGTATATATACATGAGTATTTACATATGCATATACCACACACACATTACATACACAGCATAAACATACACATAAAAAAAAATAAAAACAAGCAGCTGTTAAGTATGTATTCCTCATAATTTTGTTTTTTGAATATTTGTTTTTTTTGAGACAGGGTCTCTGTGTACCCCTGCTGATCTGGAACTCACAGAGATCCACCTTCCTAAGCCTCCAAAGTGCTGGGTTTAAAGCCAATGTGCCACTACAGCTGGCCTCATAAACATTTTAATATCATAAAACATCATTTTAAAAGAATTCAAGAATAAGATGGGCAGTGGTGGCAAACGCCTTTAATTCTAGCACTCAGGAGACAGAGGCAGGTGAATCTCTGTGGGTCTGAGGCCAGCCTGGTCTACAGAGAGAGTTCTAGGGCAGCCAGGGCTACACAGAGAAACCCTCTTAAAAAACAAAGGATCTGGTGAGATGATGCAGTAGAAGGGTTAGATTCCTAGAACCCACATGGTGGTAATAGAAAACCAACTCCTTAAAGTTGTCCTCTAGCCTCTACATGTGCACTGGTGTGTGTGTGTGTGTGTGTGTGTGTGTGTGTGTGTGTGTGTGTGTGTGTGTATGTAATATAAATATAAAAAATTAAGCAAAACTCTTTAATGGATGAAAATCCTGGAAGAAACTAAATGAAACATTTAAAACAGAAATTTTAGAGCTATAAGAGCAGTTGTAGTAATCCTCCACTCTGTGTACCTGTTTGTCTTTCTCTGCTTCCTTCCTTTGAGACAGGCTGTTTGTTCTTGGACTTCTGATTTTCCTGCCTCTACCTCCCAAGTGCTGTGATTACAGGTGTGCTCTACCACAACAGGCTGTATCTGTTGCTGAGGTGGAGTTAGAGGTGCTTGTGAGCCACCTAACTTGGCTTCAGGGAACTGAACTAGGAGAGCATTGTAAGGACAGTCGAGCCATCTCTCCAGCCCCTTGATGTCTTTTTGATTCCTCTTTCACAGTTTTTCAAAAGTCTTATCTTGTATGCAAAGGGGCCACATGCTACAGATTTATCAATGGTTGTGATAGACATCTTTTTTTTTTTTTTTTTTTTTTTTTTTCCTTCAGGGTATATTGAGGCTGACCTCAAGAACTCAGAAATCTCCTGCCTCTGCCTGTGCTGGGATTAAAGGCATGCACCACCACATCCATTGAGATAGACAATTCTTACCTTCACAGGTTGAGTCAGATCTCTGTGTGTATCCATGGCTGTCCTAGAACTCACTCTGTAGATAAGGCTGGCCTCTAACTCAGATCTACCTACCTCTGCCTCCCAATTTCTATTAAAGGTGTGTACCACCTACCGCCTAGCTGCCTTCACATGCTTTATAGTCCAGTCTATGAGAGAGACATGAATGAACTGGTATAGTGGTCAAAGACTGCTGTCACAAATACTCTGCAAACTGGATGGTATATTTTTTTTGCAGAATTGCTGAAAATAAAATGTAGGGGATGGACCAGTGAGATGGTTCACTGGGTAGATGTGCTTGCATGAAGGCCTTATGACCCAAGTTCCATCCCTGGATCCCACAGGGTGGCAGTGGAGAGCTTATTCTACAAAGTTGTCCTTTGCCCCAGAGTTGTCCTTTGACCAGTGTGAAAAGTTATAAAATGAATGTTTTAAATGTGGGAGGCTAGAGAGATATCTAAGAGATAAAGCAACTGCTTATCATGTATATAATCTTAGGTTCAGTGTCCAATACTCCATTACAAAGTTGGTATTAAAGGCTAGATTTATTAAAAAGTATGTATGTGTGTATGTGCATGTATATGTGCATGCTATGTTATACATGTGTTAGTTAATACTCACTTTCCAGTTTGTTGGGGCAGAACCTGTCTTGTTCTTTTTGCTGCTGTGTCTTAGGCTAGCTGGCCTCCTAGCTTTGGGTGTTTGTCCCAACTCTCCATCCCAAGTTGCTGTAGGAATTCTGGGATTATGGATACAAGCTACTGAATCTGGCTTTTTGTGTAAGTTCTGGGGATTGAATTTGGGTTGGGGTCCTCAAACTTGCATACCTAAAGCTTTTACCCACTGAATGACTTTTCTCAGCCCCAAGGCTAGATTATTGTTATTTAGACTATATACACTGCTTTTGTAATTCTCTGGTAGAGGGTAGGGACCTAGGGGCAGACTTCCAAACTTTTTTTAGTTGTCATTCCCTTGCTCCTCTTGCAAGGAACACAGCTTTTCATTTCTTAGCAATTAAGAATTCTGCTGAGAGAAAATGTTTCACTTCTTGGGTCTTTTTGCTTCCTTCCATTTGTTAGTATGGTATAACATGCCAGAACTGGACAGTTACTATTGAATGTTTCTTTTTGTTCATAGTGTTTGTGACAAGTTCTTTGTACTATCGTATTATTTCATGTTCTCTTTGTCCTGTTAATTTGATATTTAAGCTTCATTTTATTATACTTAACTGTCGCTTCATGAAGAAGCAGGTAAATGTATGCGATACTCTTAATATGAGTGGGTTCATTCAGTCATTTGAATGGTGTATATATTTACTATACCACCAGGATTTTTGTTGTTGGAGATAACAGTGCACAAAATGGGAATGTCCCTGTACACTGGTCTGAGTGCTTATGGTTATTTAAAGGCCAGGCAAATGAATATTTAAATTTTTAAAATTTATTTTATGTGTATGAGTGTTTTGCCTGCATGTATGAATGTGCCTAGTACCCATGAAGGCCAGAAGAGTGTTATATCCCCTGGAACTGGAATTACAAATGGTTGTGGGTACTAGGAATCAAACCCAGGTCCTCTGGAAGAACAAGTACCCTTTAACCACAGAACCATCTTAGCAGCTCTCAAATAATTTTGCAAAACAATACCATGAAACTATCTTAAAGTAGTTTAAAGCCATTGACCCTTCTTTTTTAAAGCTCTTCACAGAATATGGACGTCTGGCAATGGATGAAATTTTCCAAAAACCCTTCCAGGTAAAGCCCTATGAATGTCATTTATATCTTTGTTTAGTTCATAGTTCAGCAGGTCTGTGAGCTACAGTGTTTGTTTGTTTTTTTTGTTTTTGAGCCTGACTCAGGCTGGTCTCCTTCAACATACCTTTACTCCCTTTGAAAAGATTAGCAGGAAGTATTAGAAATAACTATAATTAATCTTATTTATTTATTATTTGTACTGCGTCTGTCTGTATGCTGCCGCCATACAGGGTGCAAGATCTCATTACAGATGGTTGTGAGCCACCATGTAGTTGCTGGGAATTGAACTGAGGTCCACTGGAAGAACAGCCAATGCTCTTAACCACTGAGTCATCTCTCCAGCCCCAACTATAATTACTCTTGAATGTGCACTTATATAGTGTTATAGTTCTGTTCTGCTCTGTCACAATAGACACTGATGTTTTTGATTCGAGACTGGAGTTTCCCTTATGAATACAGCTATGGACTGCAAGGAGGAATGGCATTTTTGGATAAGCGATTACAGGTAATTTTTCTGAGTAATTATCTAAAAGTAGTAACTTTCTCATTTGCTTTTTACTATTGTGTTTAAAGCATATTATTGAAAATGATACTCCGTAAAATGTTTATAAATATTAACATAAACCATTATACTTTTGTTTAAAAATTTAAAAATTACATGTATATATTTGTATGTATGATAGAGAGAGAGGAAAGCACTACAGTACTCATGTGGAGGTCAGGACAATTTGTGGGAGTTCTCTTTTTACCAGGTCAGCAGATTTGGTGGCAAGTATCCTTACCTGCTGAGCCATCTTTTAGCCCCCTTTTTTTTTTTTTTTTTTTATGGTAAAATTGAAGAGCCTGGATATGTAATATATAAGCACTGTAGAGGAACTCTGAGCAAAAGGCCATTATAATTACAATTTCCAGTTGTTATTTTGAATCAGGTTCTATTTGTGCCTTTAGACTATCATGTTTATTCATTATTATTTGCTTTGACAAACACACACACACACACACACACACACACACACACACACACACACACACACACACACACACACATCCTGTTCCCTAAAACCAAAGCACAGGAGACCTTTGTCAGTCACTGCTAACTTATGTGGATCCTCCTGGCCAACAAGCCTTCTGTTCTTAAATGTTGTACAATAACCTTTAAAACCAAGTCTTTATTACCTGCTCTCTGTTAGCTATGAGAGCCAAGTGTACATTCATGTACTTACTACTTCTTGGGGTTCTGGCTTTTCTCACTGGTCACACTGATCTGTCAGTCAGGAAGTTTTTCTTTTGTCCTATGCTAGTGGATGCTTAGTGAAGGATACCAAATTGTTTTTGGCTGGTAAACTGTTGGTTTTCCTTGGCAGGTGAAGGAACATCAACATGAAGAAATTCAGAACGTTCGAAATCATATTCACTCTTGTTTCTCGGATGTTACCTGTTTTCTTTTACCACATCCAGGGCTCCAGGTGGCCACAAGCCCTGACTTTGATGGGAAATTGAAAGGTGTGTTATAGACATTGTTATTGTATATATGATTTGATCTTAGGAATTCCATAATGAGCAGTAAGTGTCAACTATGAGTCAAATGGATGCTTGTGAGAATGAATGGTCTTATAAAAATGGTATTAGTCTAGTTTAGATTTTGTTCTGATTTACTGTGACTATCACAAGTAGTTTGCTTGTTTCACAAACTGAAAATGAGATATTGTTCTTCGGGTATCTTTCTAAAAGACATATTAGAATTCCCACTTTACAAGAGATCAAAGTGCTAAATAAAGACTGAAAGCTAAGACATCCAAAAATTTTCAAGTAAAATTATCTTTCTCAGAAAAAGTACCACGATACATGGCCAAGTTACTGTTTAAACTTATTTGTGCCTATAGCAAATGCGATGCTGGGTCATGTGCTAAGGTCAGGAAGTGCTGAGTAGTTTATGGGTTAGAGAATCAGAGTCAGGATGCTTGGGTACCATTATCTTATTTTGTTTCTTATTCCTGGAGACCTTGAGTCACCTAATGGCTAGTCCACAGTTTACAGTTGCTAAGCAGTTTGTTTATAGGCTGACCATAGCATCTCCTAATTTTCCCTAAAAAACTGCTGATAGTGGCTGCCAGCTTTGTAGTTCAATTGGATTCCCAGTGTTGTGCAAAGCACTTTCAAACTAAGTTCAAAGTAATTCCATGAAGTTACATCATTTCTTTTATCTCAACATTAGGAAACCAGCGAAAACAAGGAAAGTTAAGCAACTCACTCAGTGTTTTTAACTAAAAGCAATGGGGCAGAGGTCCACATCCAGGTTTTGGTACTTTAAAGCCCACACAAGGGAAATAGAAGTTCATTGTTGTTTGTAGGAAATCTTTAGAGAATATGTACTTGTTGAGGTACCAGGCAACTTGCCCTTTAAAAATAATAAATAAAAATACAGTTTTTATTTTTTATTTAGTTAATTTAAAAAGAGTAATAATATTTTTCTAAGTCAAGATGTACAGATATAAGGCTAAAGAGATAACTCAATAGTTTATAGAGTGTTCTTGGGTTCTGTTCCTAGTACCATCATCAAATAGTTTATAACTGTCTGTAACAGCAGTTTCAGGGGATCTGCTGCCTTCTTCTAGCTTCCCTGGGTACTGGCATGAACATAGCACACATATGTACATGTAGCCACACACATATACATAAACTAAAAATGGATACTGAACATTTTTAAAAGATTTATTTTATATGAGTGTTTTGTCTGTTTGTGCACCATGTGTGTAACTGGTACCTGCAGAGCTCAGAAGAGTGTGCTGGAGTTACTGGTTGTTGTGACCTCCATGTGGATGCTGAGAACTGAACCTATGTCCTTTGCAAGGGCAACAAGTATGCCTAACTGCTGAGCCATCTCCATCTTTTTTCCTCAGACTTATTTACTCATTTATTTTTTACTTAATGTGTATGGGTGTTTTTCCAACAAATATTTCTGTGCACCATGTATATACATTTCCTGCAGAGGCCAGAAGAGGGTGTCTGATCCTCTGAAACTGGAGTTATAGATGGTTTTGAGCCATCGTATGGGTGCTGGGAATCGAACTAGAATCCTGGAAGTGTTCTTCTGTTGGGCCATTGCTCTTACCCATACTCTCTCCCCATTAATAAATCTCTTAAAAAGATTTACAGACCAGCTGGTCAAAATGCTGTGAAACAAACTGAATTTGAGACGCATAGTCTTTGTCTTCTGTTTGACACTTGTATGATATGATATGTTAAGTAGTTGGCAGCTTTCTTGAAGGGGATACTCTGAGAGCTTGTCTCTCAGTGATTGAGAGATTCAAGAGCAAAGCCTGGGTTTGGTAGAGATATCTACTTAAACAGTGGAGCTATAAACTGTTACCTAAAGAGGTAGGAGAGAATTTTTCAGAGCTAAGTAAGGAGAGAAAGTTAAGTGCATTTGTGTGTGTGTGTGTGTGTGTGTGTGTGTGTGTGTGTGTTGGTGTGTTGAGAACGTACATATTTATTCTTTTTTTGGAGGGGCAGGATCTCATGTAGCCCAGGCTGGCCTCAAACGTCATTGGTAGCCAAATAACTTTGAACTCATCTTCCTGCCTTTACCTCTTGACTGCTGGGGTTAAAGATATACATCACTGTGCCCAACTGGTAATTTCTTTTAGGGTTATGGTACTTTATGATTAGTTGTATTTTTACAAAATCTAGACTGACTTTGACTTGAAGGTGTATTGTTAACTGGGACACACGTTTATATTCCTGTGGTTGTCTTTAACAAGTGAATATGCTGGGCAGTTAAGGCAAAGATTTATTCTTTTACAGTTCAGGAAGCTGGAAGTGTAGTGACTGGTTCCCTCGGGGGCTCTGAGAAGAGCTCTCCCATGCCCCTCTCCTGGAAGGTGACAGCAGTTCGAGGCACTCTTTGGCTGTGGTTGTGCCACTCTAATTTCTTTGTTGTCATATAGCTGTCTTCTTTGTATGATGTTCTTCCTACTAGCCCATCAGATCCATTTTAAGTCCTCATTTTAGTGAATCACATTGGCCAGGACACCTTCCAAGTAAGGACACATTCTGAGGTTACAGATGGGCAGGCAACACTATTTTATTTCATTTTTCACACATATAGTTTGCAGATGGTTTAGTCACTGAACAGGGAGTATGTTGTTTCATGCTATTTATGCTTATTTAGTGTAAGCAATCTCCAGTCTCATGATTAGGAACCATTTGGTTCTTCCATTCAAGATAGAACTATCAATCTCCAGTCTCATGATTAGGAACCATTTGGTTCTTCCATTCAAGATAGAAATATATATATATATATATATATATATATATATATATATATATATATTTTTTTTTTAAGTTATTTTTTGAGATAGGGTCTCACTATATATAGTCTTAGCTGGCCTCTGGAATTTACTATGTAGACCAGGCTGGCCATGATCTCAGAGGTATGCCTGTCTCTGTTTCAGGAATGCTGGGATTAAAGGCTTGTACCACCAGACTAGCCTCAAGATAGTACTAAAAAATAAAATAGGGTTTAAGTCATTTTTTTTTTTTAATATGAGAATGCAAGTTCATAAAGGGCCAGAGGTATATAGCTCAGTTATAGAGCGGCTTCCCTGGTATGTATGAAGCCCTGAGTGTGATCCTAAGCATTGAATAAAAAGCAAAAAGCAACCAAACACAAAACTGAGCCCAAACTCACACGCAGACCCTAATCTCCAAACTCTCAAACCCAAATGATTGAAAATATGTGAACCATAACAACAATCAGTAAAACAAAAATATGTTAGTATGTTACATTTTTTTTTTTTTTTCCCTTTCCCAAAGATGGTTTCTCTGTAGACCAGACTGGCCTTGAACTCAGAGGTCCGGATACCTCTGTCTCCTGAGTGCTGGGATTAAACATGTGTACCACTGCTGCCTGACTGTTAACAGTTTTTATGCACATTTTGGCAGTAGCAAAATTTTAAGTGCTTTTTTTTTTAAATTTTATTTATTTATTTTTTTTTTGGATACAGTATTGTGCTTTTAAGAGTTTATCTTAAGGAATTGTCCAAATAAATTGTCCAAAAGTTGTGTTTAAGGATGTAGCACTGCCAGGTGTTGGTGGCACACGCCTTTAGTCCCAGTACTCGGGAGGCAGAGGCAGGTGGATCTCTGTGAGTTCGAGGCCAGCCTGGTTACAGAGCTAGTTCCAGGACAGGCTTGAAAAACAAATCAAAACAAAAGGATGTTGCATTATTATAATAAGGGATAACTTCAAATCAAATGTGTACTTAAGAGGAAGTGGTTGATTTATATATAGTATGTTAAACAGAGAATTAAAGTTCATTCATTAGCCAGGTGTGTGTGTGTGTGGTGGTGGTGGTGGTGGTGGTGGTGCACACCTATAGTCCCAGCACTGGGAAGGCAGAAGTAGGAATATCCAATTTTAGGCTACATAAGGAGAGACCTTGCCTCAAAATAAAGCAATTATTAAAAATAATTAGGTAGCTATTTGGATTTCTCTCTATATATACATAGGAGAGAGGAGTCAGGAATAAATTATTAAATGTAAGAAGATTGAAGAATAGCATATGAAATCTGACCCAAAAAAGTAAGTTGTACTGTATTGTTTGGGATAGGGTTTTGCTTGTAGTGTAGACTTTGCTAGCTTCAAACTAACCTTGCATCTGCTCTTCTGTTTTGTTCATCCCAGTACTAGGATTACAGATTAGTATCACTGGTGGGGGATGTCATTCTGTAAATATGTTTCTCTTATTGTTTAATGAGTAAAGCACTGTTGGCCAATAGGAAAGCAAGATAGGCAGGACTAGGAGACTAGGAGGAGAGAGGAAGTAGTAGGGAGGAGATCCAAGATGGAGGATGGAGAGAGAATGCCAGCCCCTCTCTTTGGTAAGATAAGACCACATGGAAGTACTTAGATTAATAGAAATGAGTTAATATGTAAGACAGAGCTAGCCGATAAGAAACTAGTAACTGGCCAACAGCTTTATATCTAATATAGGGTCTCTGCATGTTATTTGGGGTTGGCGCGGCGGTGGGACCAGACCAGCAGGGAAAAAAACTACTCATACTTATCACCATGCCTAGTTTACAAGTACTTTTAAAAATGAAAATACTTAAAAGTATAATTTTCCTTTTTTACCTCAATTTTAAAATCTGTTTAAGGAGCTACAGAATATAGTCAGGTACTATGTAACTTTTCACTCAACAATGGCCTTTGTACAAAATATGTGTTATAATCTGCCCCATGTAGATTTTTATATATGCATTAGACAGTATTAGCACAGTAAGGAACTTACCTGATGACATAGTTCTCAGACTTTATTCCTGTTGCTAAGTGATACTATACTTAGATTAAGTGACTATACTTTTAGAATTATAGATATTTTATAATATTAGAGAAGGTTTCATGGTTTTGTTTTTTTATATTGTTTGTAGGCATGTCAACAAACTATTGTTTGTTGAGGCTGGAGGATAGTTTGTGGAAATGATTCTCTGACACACTTAAGTGGGATCCAGGGATTAAACTCAGATCATTAGACGTGCATAGCCAAGAGCCTTTTATCCACTGAGGCCTGTTGTACCTGCTTTCTTTTGGAAACATTGTCTTCTTGTGTCCTACGATGGCCTAGAACTCATATAGCCCATGTTGACCTTGAACTCATCCTCCTACCTCAGCCTCCCAAGTGCTGGGATTTCCAGCATGTACCTCTAGGCTTGGCTTTATTGAATTTCAGTGAAGAATAAATGCTAAATTGAAAAAAAAAAAAAAAAAAAAGCAGATGATGCCTTTAGTTCTAGCACTCAGGAGACAGAGGCAGGTGGATCTCTGTGAGTTCCAGACTAGTCTGGTCTACAAGAGCTAGTTCCAGGACAACCTCCAGAGCCATAGAGAAACCCTGTCTTGAAAAACCAAAATAAATAAATAATAAATAACAGATGACTTGTAAATATTTGTCTAGGACTGACTTGAGAGCCACACAGTGTTTTAAAAATTTTGAAGACACAAAGCCCATACTTGCCTCTAACTTTCTAGGTAGCCAGGGATGACCTCAGCCTCCTGGTATTGTAGGTATGTGCCACCATATCTCGTACCACATGTGATAGGCTTTATTTGTTTCTTTTTTGGTTTTTTGAGACAGGGTTTCTCTGTGTAGCTCTCGTTGTCCTGGGACTCGATTTGTAGATCAGGCTGACCTCGAACTCACTGAGATCTGCCTGCCTCTACCTCCCAAATGCTGGGATTAAAGGCGTGCACCACCACCTCCTGGCGATAGACTATTTGTGATAGACTTGTAAGAAGAAATGATGTGAGGGTGACTCAGAGGGTAAAGGCATCTGCCAAGTCTAATCACAGTAATCTCTGGTCACACACGAACTTAGTTTTGGTGTCTTTTTGAGCATTGTTTCATCAGCTGTTAGGTTGACAGTGTCATTGTCATAAAGAAAACTGTTCACTGGAGCAGGGAAATCGTTACAGAAGCTATTTGTGTTTCCTTAACCAAACACTAGGGCTTACTCTTTGACATCATGAGCAACTGGGCTTGACTGTCTTGAGACAGTTCTTTTATGATTTAAAAGCTGTTATTTTGGAATAGCCTTAGTAAGGACATAAGTAGTCTGAGATCTTTAAACATTCATGTCTGCATCTTTCTTTGATACATGTGTTTTGGAATAGTCCTTCAGTAAAATGAAAGTTGAAACCATAAAATGCTTAAAAATAGATAATATATTCTCATGCTTAAAAAGAGGACCAGAGAGATGACTCACTGAAAAGACAGTTGCCAAAAGCCTAGACTCACACGGTAGCAAGATAATGACTAGCACAAGTTGTCCTCTAACACACACTCTCTCTTTCTGTAAGGTTCTATAGTTTATCACATGTACTTTATCATATGTAGAACAGTATAGTGTGTCCATTACTTTATACTTTTTTCAGTATGTGACTTAAAGTAGTTTTTTTTTAAGATTTTATTTTCAAATTTTACATGTATGCATGTTTTGCTGGAACATATGTCTATGTATTATATGAGTGCAATTCCTGCAGAGGCTGAAGAGGATGTTGCATCCTTTGGAACTGGAATTACAAACAGTTGTGAGCTACCGTGTGGGTTCTGGGAATCAAACCCCTCTCTTCTGGAAGAGGGCTGAGCCCTCTCCATCCTATGAGATTAATAATTTGTCCCACCTTTTTACTCCTTAGAACTTAATGGGTTCATTTTTTTACATTATAATTACATTTATGGAATGCTGAAGAGTTTATCTATTTTGATAGGGAACCTCATAAAGACATTAGAAGATTTATATAAATCATATTTCTGATTTATCCTACATCCTCATAGTTGGATCTGTTTATTCTTAACTTTAAGGAAAGGTCACCTCTACTTGAATCCCTTAAACTTGCTTTGAGAACCTTGTGTGACCTACAAAGATAATTAACAGGAGGTACTACTTGGAGTGGATTTTTTTTTTTTTTTTTTTTTTTTTTTTTGAGACAGGGGTTTTTCTGTATAGCCCTGGCTGTCCTGGAACTCGCTCTGTAGTTTAGGCTGGCCTCGAACTCTGAGATCCACTTGTCTCTGCTTTGATAGTGCTGGGATTAAAAGTGTATGCCACCATCATCTGGCAATTTTTCATTCATTCATTCATTCATTCATTCATTCATTCATTTACTTGGGACAGTTTATGTATGTTGTAAATTATTTAAAAACGGTGTGAAGAAAAGTCATGCTATGCAATAGGGCTCACATAGGAGTGAGATGGGACAGAGACTGATCCTTGGGGACAAAAGTGGTAGGAGAGAGAAAAAGAGGGGGGGGCAGGGCCCACCTTTTAAAAGGGTACCAAATGAATGTGCATAGGCAGTGCTCTTAGTGGCTGCCTCTGAGGATCATATCCTGTCAGGACCCCAAGGGCAGGCCAGTACAGATGCCTGAAAACTAACAATGCAGCCCATTTTAGTCTCAAATTTACCATGTAGCTCAAGCTGGCCTTAGACTCCTGATCCCCTTCCACGTCCTCCTGCTGGGATTACAGGTGGGAGTCACAGTGCCAGGGAAGAGCGTCATCTTTTAAGATGAAATCTTGGCAAAAATGAGGCAAATGAATGAATAGTGGCTTCTTGTTCATTTTAAGGGATAGGAGGGGTACGGGAAGGGCATGGGCAAATGAAGTAATTACTTTGTTTTTAAATACCTTAGTTAATTCTTTGTTTTTCCAGACAGGGTTTCTCTGTGTATCCCTGACTTTCCTGGAACTCCAACTGTAGACCAGGTTGGCCTTGAACTCATAGAGATCTGCCTTTTCTGCCTCCCAAGCGTTGGTATAAAGGTGTGTGTCACCACCACCTATTCTGTTCTGAACTGGAAAGGACTTAAATGTGACAGGAAGGAAGGGTACAAATGCAAGTGCATTAGGACAGCAGTCAGTAGCCGGCCACAGCCAGAGGATAGGAAACACAGTCTTCATTCCCTTTCTGAAAGGGTATTGTTTTGTGCTCATTTTGACTTCTTCTTTCTTTCTTTATTATCCTATGTAATAGATATTGCTAGTGAATTCAAAGAACAGTTGCAGGCACTGATACCATATGTACTAAACCCATCTAAGTTAATGGAAAAGGAGATCAATGGCTCAAAAGTCACCTGCCGAGGACTGTTGGAATATTTTAAGGTAAATATGAGTTACAGTTCTAAGCTTAGTTTTTATTTTTTAATTGATTTTAATATTAGTTTTCTGGGCGGAGATGAACAGAGGCATTAAGGAAAATCTTAGTGTTCTTCCAGGAGCGGGCCACTGGGCACCAGTATGGGTATAAGAACCAAATGATGTTCTTTGCACTCTCTTAGAATAGCCATTACTGTGTCTTCAAGGAAGATGGTGTGGACAGGAGGTGGTTAGGAGATTGCTGTAAGTAGAGACGAACATAAATGGGACACAACTATGTTTCTGCCCAAGGTCGTGGTGAGACCATCGTGTATGGGGACTTGACTTAAATCCTGGCCTTGGTAGTCTTGTGCTGCTTTGAGAGTACTTTTAGATAACTAAAAATGCTAACATGTACTCAGAAGTGTGTTGTGCTTCTGCTAATTCTTGGTTATTGATCTAGGATTTTAGGAAAATGAAGTTGTGTGGCTTCACTATTTAAAAAATATGAGTAAAATATTTTGTAATTGTATTTTTGTGATTGCGTCTATGTTTATATTTTAAGGCATATATTAAAATTTACCAAGGAGAAGATCTGCCTCACCCAAAATCCATGCTTCAGGTAATAAAGTCTTTGGTATCCTAAATGACATGCTTTAATTGCTAGAATTTATCTAGATAGGACACAAGTGAGTCCTGGAGAGGAGAGCAAGACCATTCTCCTTTTATAGACTTACCTTGATTTTTAAGAGTACATTTTGTAACAAGTGTGGGTTGTAGCATAAATTCTAATAGGTCTTAATATTAAAAAAGCCAGAGTCAGATGTTGATGCTGAGGAGCAGAGAAGCAAAACAGCTAGCATTAGAGTTCTTACCTCTACCAATGCTCAGATCAAAGGGGCGATTCTGTCTTCAGACTGCTGCCTCAGATTGCCATGAGCTCCTGTCTCCCCTCACCTTATATTCCTCTCTCTGCCCAGCCATATCACTTCTATCTCCACCTCCTTAGTGCAGGATTTAAAGACAGATTACTCCAAGTGCTGGGATTACCTTTGTGTGAGCTGTTTCTTCTTTAGACATATTCAATGTTGTGTAGCTCAGGGTGGCCTTGAACTTGTAGATCTCTGTCTGCTTCTGTCTCCTGAGTGCTGGGATTAAAGGTCTGTGCCACCACTGCCTGGCCTGTATGGCTAACTAGTATGGCTAGCTTTGTACTCTGATCTTCAGGCAAGCTTTATTTGTTAGGTCATAAATATCACAGTGGCTACCCGTTGTTTTGTTTGTGTTCTTTATCAGGTAGTTCATGCAGTTGGGGCTTCTTTTATGGCACACTTGGAAAAACTGTTTTGTTATATCCAGCTGAAGCATAGTTGCTGTGTTAGACAAGCCACTTCCAGTCATTGGTTACTTTGGTAGAACTCTCTTGTTCTGGAGCTAGTTCTGTGTACTAGGCTGGCCTCAAACTCACAGAGATCCATCCACCTGGCTCTTACCCCTAGGATTCACTGGTCATATGCTTCTTATTTTCATATGCTAAACATGTGGGTATTTTTGCTAAATACTGGTTTCTTTAGTAGCAAAATATTTTCACAAAATAGCTGGACCTTGTGAGTGATAGTATAATGAAATTTACCCCTCTTTTTTTGGTTTTTCTTTTCTTTTTTTTTTTTTTTTGAGGCACTGGGATTAAACCCAGCTGCCTTATACCTTATAGGTTAGGTAATGCTTTACCACTGAACTTTATCTCCAGTCTGAAGTGTGCAACAGTTAGGGTTGAAATTGAAATAAAACAAATTATATTTTATTGAGTTTTGGGGGTTTGGTTTATGCTACAGATTCTAAACTGTCAGAATAGATGTTCTGGCACAAAAATTGGCAAAAACATGTATTTTATCAGTTGAGTTATAGAAATGTAAATAATAATAGGATAATAATAATAAAAGGAAGAATGACAATAGGAAGAGTGATATTTTTGCTTGGTTTCTGGGAAAATGTTTCAAGAATTATTTATAGTTCATACTTTCTTTCTTAAAAGGCCACTGCTGAAGCCAACAATTTGGCAGCTGCAGCCTCTGCCAAAGATATTTATTATAACAACATGGAGGAGGTATGTCTATGTAACACCTTTTTTTTCTGGAGTATCTATTTCCTGAGCATGACTGTTGACTTCAGAGGCCCAAACTTTATTTTACTCAATGTATACTTTTTTATTTGAGACAGAGTTTTATGGAATAGGCTTTGTAGTGGGGGCTGGCTTTAAATGTTTGATTGTACTGCCTTTATCTCACTAAGGCTGTGGTACAAAAATGTGCTTTAAAGATTTGTTTTCATTTATGAATCTTGTGAATGTATGCCACATATATGTGGGTATTCACAGAGGCCAGAAGAGGGTATAGGATCCTCTGAAGCGAATGTTTAGGTGTTTGTGAATGACTTAGCATGGGTGTTGAAAATGTGACCTGGTTATCTGGGAAAGCTAAAAGCCCTCCTTTAACTACTGAGCTGTATCTCCAGTCCCTGCTCAATGTGTCTTAAGATGATGAGACACAAAGCTGTTTTTCAGGTCATCCTGGTAATTGGGATGTTCTAATTACTGCCTTTTTAAATTTAATTTTTCTTTTCTTTTGAAACAGTCTTCCTCTGTAATTGGGATCTTCTAGTTATTTTTGTTTTTTCTGAGACAGGGTGTTGATATGTAGTACTGGTTGGTCTCAAACTCACGACAATCCCTTATGATAAGCCTCCTGAGTCTTGGATTGCAAATGTATGCTACCATGTCTGTTATTTCTTTTCTTCTAAGTTTATTCATTTATGTGTATATATGTACCTGTAGGTACCTGAATAGGCCAGTTTCCTGATGTGGGTGCTGGGAACTGAACCCTGATCATCTGTAAGAACAGCAAGTGTTCTTAACTGCTGAGCCATCTCTCTAGCCTCCCAGTATCTGGTTATTAACTATTTCTAACCAAGCTTTCTCAAGAGTGTCTTTTGTTCTTTTTGATTAGTGTTAACTTGTTTTTATTTTAAACTTTAAAATTAGTTATTATATTTTTATGTAAGGACTTGCTAGGTAGCTCTGATAGACCTGGAATTTGTTATAGACCATCTCCACCTTGAACTTCATGATCTCTTGCCTCTGCCTCCTCAGTGCTGGAATTATAGGTATATACTAGTATGTCTGGCTTTGGCCTTGGGTATTTGTCTTTTCTGAATTTTTAAAAAAATTTTATATGCATTGGTATTTTTGCCTGCGTTTATGTCTGTGCGAGAGTGTTGGGTCCCCTGGAACTGGAGTTACAGAGAGTTGTGAGCTGCCATGTGGGTGCTGGGAATTGAACCCAAGTCTTCTGGAAGAGCAGTCAATTAATTCTCTTAACTGCTGAGCCATCTCTCCAGCCCCCCCCCTTTTTTTTTTTAATCTTTTGAGTCAGAGTTTTTCTGTGTAGCCCTGGGTGTCCTGGAACTCACTTTGTAGACCAGGCTGGCTGGCCTCGACTCACAGAGATCCATCTGCCTCTGTCTACTGAGTGCTGGGATTAAAGGTGTGTACCACAACTTTCCGGCCTTTTCTGACTTTTTATCGAAGCAGAATCTCATGTAGCCTAGGTAAAGTGGGCCTCAAACTCTAGGTAGCCAAAGATGACACTGAACTTTCTGATCCTCTTGTAACCACCTCCGGAGTGTTGAATTATATGTGTGTAACACCATACTGATTTATATGGTACTGAGATTGAACCCAGGATTCTGTGCTTACTAGGCAAGTACTCTATCTTGTGTATTACACCCTCAGTCTCCCTTGAATATTTTCTGAAGTTAACTTCTAAACTTTTCCCCTTAAGAGCATTCTAATCTCTACTGTGTCTTTTTACTTCTTTAATTTGGCATGTACAAGAATTTTCATCATGTGTTTTTGTCATTTTTAGGTTTGTGGGGGAGAGAAACCTTATTTGTCTCCAGACATTTTAGAAGAGAAGCACCACGAATTTAAACAGCTTGCTCTAGATCACTTTAAGAAGACCAAAAAGATGGGTGGGAAGGATTTCAGCTTCCGTTACCAGCAAGAGCTGGAGGAGGAAATCAAGGAACTGTATGAGAACTTCTGCAAGCACAATGGCAGCAAGAATGTCTTCAGCACCTTCCGAACCCCTGCAGTTCTGTTCACAGGCATAGCAGTATTGTACATAGCTTCCGGCTTCACTGGCTTCATTGGGCTTGAGGTTGTAGCCCAGCTGTTCAACTGTATGGTTGGACTGCTGTTAATAGCACTCCTTACCTGGGGCTACATCAGGTATTCCGGTCAGTATCGTGAGCTGGGTGGAGCTATTGACTCTGGTGCAGCATATGTATTAGAACAGGTGAGTGGTGCTGGCTGAGGCTAAGGGTCTATGGTGATTGTACTTAGCGTTTTGAAATTTGGAAGAATTTTATAGTGAAGAAAGGGTAAGCCCATTTTCTGATGGGCTTTATATTTTATTCTTTTTTTAGTATATTAATACTTAATCCTTATACTTTGCCTTAATGCTTAAAAATGGCACTTTAATACAAAAAAGGGTCTTTGATATAATGTGTTCTTCCTGGGGCAGTTTTATTTTAAATTAATTGTTTTGGTTAACATACAAAACTAGGGTTCTTTATAGCATCTTCATATAGTCTATCATTTATGTCTTAAAAATACAAATTGTTTTTGAGTTTGACATAATCTCTAGTTTTTTTTGTTTGTTTGTTTGTTTTCGAGACATGGTTTCCCTATATTGCTTTGGAGCCTGTCTTGGAACTAGCTCTGTAGACCAGGCTGAACTCAGATCCACCTGCCTCTGCCTCCCGAGATCTCTAGGGTTTTTTATTTTTAAAAGTTTATTTAAGTTTGTTACTCTTGTGTGTGTTGTGTTGTATATGATATGTGAATGTGGGTATATGAGACCCAGAGCACAGGATATGGAGGTCAGAGAACATCTTTGTGATGTCAGTTTTTGCCATTCACCTTTATGTGGGTTCTGAGAATTGAATTCAGGTTGTTAGAATTGAGCAGCAAGGTTTTTTACCTGATGAGCCTCTGAAGAGCTCTTATGTGATGCAAGTGCTGAGGATATAGTCATATCCTATATGCTACACCTGGCTGAGCTCTAGTTTTCATAAATTATTTTTTGAGACAGAGACTTTCCATAGTCTAGGCTGGCCTGGGACTCACCGTGTAATGTAGGACGCCTGAAACACATATAATCCTCTACCTCAGCCTCCTGAGTGCTGAGATTGTAGGCGGGCACCATGGCAGCTGGTCATTTTGTATGTTTTTAGGACAAGTTTGTTTCTTTTTCTGTGGCATAAAAGATCAGTTAGGTCAACATTGTTGAAGCCAGGGGAGTCTCCACCTCCTCAGCAGAGGAGCAGATGCTCCACTGACTCCTAGGAGTCAACATAGGCCATTGTTTCCTCTCAACACTGTGGTCCTCACTCAGTGTTGATGAGGGAAGCTATTTAGAAGTTATCACCTAGGACTTAGTTTTTTTTTTTTTATGCTGTATTGTAGTGTATTAACTAATACATTAACCAAATGGACTTTTGCAGGCTTCTTCTCATATTGGTAATTCTACTCAGGCTGCAGTGAGGGATGCCATCGTTGGGAGACCACCTACAGATAAAAAAGCTCAATAGCTTCTTAATGGCAAGATCCAACAAGAGCTCAGTCAACCCCTGGATTTCTGCTAATGCCATCATGGGTTCAGTTCCAGAGGAATGGCAGATCCGAGACCATCCTGGAATCGCTGAGACGGGGCACTGTAATAAATGAACTGACCTCTCCTATGCTTTCCAATTCCACTTGTCTTGGAAGCAGTTCTTTTTGTTGCTGTTACAGACCCAAGGCTACTCTCTTCTCTGCTTTGTGCACTTTAAGGGGTGGGTGTGGGGGCTAAAAGGAGAACATAGAAATGCAGCTTTTAAGTCTTTGATGTGCCACATAGTGCCTTTTAAGATCAGTCCATGCCTCTGTAGCTGTGAACACTGAGGAATGGAGGTCAACCTCATGAAATGCAGTTTTGGATCAAGTTTTCTTTTGGATTTTGGATTTTAGTTCTTTTGTATCTTTGAAAATTTGTTTTTCAAAAGTTTACGCAACTTGAAAAAGGCTCAGAACTAAAGGCCAACTGACATGATACACTTAAACAGTTTCCCCTACTATTGCTGATTGAACCTAGCACCTGACATGCTAGGCAGTTGCTCTGCCCTAGAGCTATCCCTTTCTTAGCCTGCTTGCCTGCAGTCTCAGAGTTTGAAATTACCCTGTCCCCAGGTTGGTTGTGAACTTTCCATCTCCTTCCTCCCTCCCTAGCCTCTTGAATAGCTTGAATACAGACCTGTACTACCATCCTTGCTTCAAAAACCTTATTTATATGAATTATCTTTGCTATGCAGCATGGAAAAGATTAAGTCATTTAATACTTTGTGTTGGAGAATATAGGGTCTTTTACACAGTAGGCTGTCAGTTTTGTTGGAAATTGCTTTTTTATTTTTATTCTTGTAGCTTCTTTCTAGAAAAGAGGCAAATGGTCCTTAAAAGGCCAGGGCTTCATAATAAAAGGAATGAGCTAGACACTTCATGGTAAAATTGTAGTTTGGGTAAACCTCTGATTAAGTCACTTGAACTTTTGTCTTGGTCACATTCACTATACGTTTATGTATGTATATGTCACTCTCAGAAGTAGTCACTTTTAATACAGAAAGACATTACCAAATACTACTATTAATGTTCAGTTTCATATTGCTTAGTGATAATATAAAGTAATATGAGCTAAAGTCTTTACTCACACTTTTCTTTTGGGTTGTTGTTGTTGTTGTTGTTGTTGGTGGTGGTGGTGGTGGTGGTGGTGGTGATGTCTCATTGTTGCCCTGGCTAGCCTGTAACCTTTGATACAGACCAGGCTAGCCTTGAACTCATAGAGATACTTGTGCTTCTGTGTGCCATTGTGCCTGGCCCCAAAATGCTTTTTTATTCTATGTACTATCTAATGTTCATAAGATCAAAGCTTAACTATTAATTTTATTTAGTTAACTTTCCTTTTTTTCCCTTGAAGAAGGAAGGGCATTCAGTCTAGTTAAACTGTTTCAAATTGAGTTTCCTTTTGGTTAGTAGTTTTAAAATAACTGACTTATGAAGGACAGTTGCTCAGACTCTAAAATTTTCTTATTTACATATACCTTGGTTATATGATCAAGTTTTATGTATTAGTTTTTTTCCCCTTTGACTTTATAATGGTGAATTATTGTGAACTTAAACCTTAAAACATGCCAGCAGATATAGAAGCCTTCTTTTTTTTTTTTTTAGGTAATTTGAAATTTTGTTGTGGGAAGGAGATAGAATGATTTTGGTAAAACCTAGTGTGAATTTTAAGTACATGAAGTATGAGTGGAAGGCAGAAAAAAAAAAAAAGGAAGTCTTTAATTTCTTTATGAGAATTTTCTTCTTACTAAGTTTTCCAGTCAAGCATTTAACAAATCCTGAATTAATATTAAGCATTTTACATGTTTTCATACATCTTGTTCTGAAACTCATACTAATTTTTCTTTTTGCTCTGGTATCTGGGAATAATTTCAGCTTGCTTTAAAACTGTTCACTGCTTGTGAGTGATGGCTGACCATGTAAGGGGTTGGAACCTCAGTCCTGAAGTTGAGCAGTTTTCATGTAGTGTTCCCTGTCTGGAAACTTGTATTGAGTGATGGACTCAGTCAGAGAGGGTGTGTCCCCATGCCCATCTCTGGTTCTATTCTTTTTGCTTGTTTGTTTTGAGACAGGCTTTCTCCATGTTGCTTTGTAGACTAGGCTGGCCCTAACTTCAGAGATCTGCTTGCCTCTGCCTCACGAAGCACTAGGATTAAAGGCGTGTGCTACCGCTGCCCTGCTCTGGCTCTACTCTTAATGGTGAGAAAAGATGATATGGGGAAGATTTGCTGTAATACTTTAGTATTACATCTGTGTATGTGTCTAAAGTGAATGTTCTGTTACTTAACTTACTCTGCTTCTGGAACATGTTTATGAAGTTTTCTTTGAGGGTTTTGGGGGGGGGGGTTCTTGGCTTCTTTTCTAACTTTAATTGTTGAATTTTCTATCACAAATTTTCAATATAAAATGCCTTTAATGATTGACTAGAAATAGTTCTAAGGAGAATTATAACTGGTTGAAAGAATCTATCAGCACCTCCAGCCTTTTCTTTGTGGGCTAGGGACATGGTGTGGGAGTCAGACCAGTGTCTCCACAGGCTTTCTGTGTAGGCGGTGCTAATTTGCACACTCTGCCAATGTGTGGAGCACATTCCTATAAACACAATAGAGATTTCCAAAACATTCCATTGAGAATAACTCACTTCAAGAGAAGCTAAATGTTGCCAAAGTATTCTTGGTTTTGTTTTGGGTGCTGAGGATGGAACCAGAGGGCAGAGTGTGTGGCAGGTATTTGCCCTATGTACCAAGTTAAACACTTCAGTTTGCCTCTTTTACCATCAAATGCATAGAATCACAGCTTTGATTCTTTTGCTGAGAAGTCATTTTACACATTCCTTGTGAAGAGTACCAAAAATCTCTTTCATGGATGCTTGCGACTTTTCTATTTTTTCCTTCTTTCCTCTCCCATCCCCTTTTTCTTTCTGTGCAGCTCCAGCGAGAGGTTTATGTTTGATACCTGTTTATACTAGGTCAAATTGCTGTGTTTGTGTTTGATTTGCTTTCTCTCTCACAAGCACTGTGTTTTCTTTTTTTCCTTTTTCCTTTTTTTTTTTTTTTAAGAGACAGGGTTTCTCTGTGCCTTTGGAGCCTGTCCTAGAACTGGCCTCAAACTCTGTCTCCCAAGTGCTGGGATTGAAGACATGCACCACCACCACCCAGCAGAAAAGCCTTATTCTTTTCAGTTTCTTTAGGAGGTCACATACAGTAGTGCCTGGATATGTGAGTGAAACATAAATTCCGTAGGTTAATTTCAGCCCAAGCCAAGAAAGAAAGAAAAAAAAAAAAAAAAAGAAAGTGACATGAAAGTATCAAAAGATCTGTTTTTTTTTTTTAAAGTGTAAGTATGATTTGATTTTTTAAATCAGGTGACCAACATCTCTGCATCCTTGTACATAGAATGTGGAATCAATACAATTTCTGTCAGGAATGAGGCTGCAAGCAAGCCTCATTTAGCAGAGTATATTCCCTGTTCCATGTGGCCTGTTGTTGTGGGCTGGTTGTTTTCCTCAGGGGCTGTACTGTACTGTAGCTCTATCTTGGACACTGGTTCTTGTCTGCCTTTTCATGCTTAGACTAATCTGTTGTGTTGAAAGAAAATCAGTCTCTGCTTTGTATCTAGAGATTGCTTCAGCGGTTTTGCGATGGGGCTCTGAGATCATTTCTTACAGACTTCAATAGGTGATTGGCAGGTGGGAATGGGCATGAATGAGTGAGAATGAACTGATCCACAAAAGGGGGGAACCCAGACAGGAAGTGCACTTGAACATTTCCAGCAGCTTTGTCTGAGGACTGCTGCTAGGTCTGCTTACTCAAGAGTTTACTATGTTTAGAATCAGCAGGTGCCTTAATGTAGAGGATTGTCCATGCTTTTTAAAGCTGCCATAGTGCCTTCGTTTATATACCTGCCCTTACACACTGACAGGTAACTAGGATTTTTAAAAATAAATGTTGATAGTATCCCCTCTCGTACTCTGAAAAGGCCAAACTGGGCACTGTGACTTCAATTCCTAAATTTTTGTTGTCGTTTTGTTTTGAGAAAGGGTCTAAGTATGTAACCCTGGCTGTTCTGGAACTCATTATACAGATCAGGCTGGCCTTGAGCTCATAGAGATCAATCTATCTCCTTGTGGATCCTGAAATCTTTTAAATCCAGAAAACCCTGAAGTACTATGAACAAAGAGGATGGGATTGTAACTATGAATATAGTCACCCATGCACCCCATAGCAGGAGCATCTCAAGATAGCTCTTATCAACAGAAAGGTTTCCTATGGGAAAGAGTCTCATGTGCCAGAGTTGAAGCTCAACGTTACAACCACGGGAAGGTCACATTGATGCCCAGACCTCTTCCGTTCAGGTGATCAAAGTTGTTATGAATGTAAGCCTTAAAAGAGTTTGATCTTGAACATACATAAATTGTCCTCAGTTTTATTTTTAAAATGATTTGTTTTAAGTACTTTCTGTTAGATCCTTGCCTTTGAATGGCTTTAAAAAATATAATTTTTTTTTTAAGTGCAATGGGAAGTAATGAAGCTATTCTGTGCTAAAGGCTTGTTTCTGTTTCCTTTATGGGTTGTACATTCATTTAATGGATTAAAGATCACAACACCATGTTACCCGTGTTTGTTGTTACTATTCTTTCTTGTGGAAGACCTGTGGGACAGAGTGGGGCTCAAGGGGAGTTGGTGACCTGGTAGGTAGGGGCAGTGGCAAGTCAGCTCAGTTAGCCTTCCACAATGATCTGGAAAGGCTGTTTTCCAGCTGCTTCAAAGACAGCAGTGTGTAGTTTTGAGATTGTAACGTCTTCTAGTTTGTAACACTTGTAGTGGGCTACTGGGAGCCAGAGCCAACTGTAGTTAAATAGAATCTCACAGTGGTGGCATGGATAGAGGGAGAGCTGTGCTAACACATTTCCTCTCCACTGTGACCTGGGAAGCAATGGGGAAGTAGTACTGAGTTTCTTCAGTCCCGAGAAAAGGTTGTGGTGGTCACTATGTAGCCTTGGCTGATCTGGAGCTCACTAGGTAGTTCAGGCTGGCTTTGAACTCACACAGATCCACCAGCCTCTGCTGTAAGAGTACTGGAGTAAGAGTTTGCTGCTACGATGGACTTTCCCTCCCTCTCCCCCTCACTCCTCTGTGTGGTGGGCCCCCTAAGAGTAAAAAACAAAACAAAAAAAAAAAACAAACAAACAAAAAAACCCAAAAAACTACAGAGCCATATCAAAACTTTGTTTCTCGTCTTTTACAGGCGGTGGTTGGTTGTCTGATGGTTGGTGGGGAGGCAAAAAAGTAACAGCTAGCACATGAGAATGCAAATGTGCATGCCAGACATCCACCTCTATGCTGACACAGGGTTAATTCTGGATATGGCCCTCCAAAAGGCAGACAATGCCTAAACTATTGGCAGTCACTCAATAGAATAAAAAGCTAAAAAGCTGTTTCCTCCTGGTTTTTGTTTGTTTTTTGGTGTATGTGTATATGTTCAAGTGACCTTTATTATTTAATAATGGCCCAAAGAACAAGAGTAGAGATGTTGGCAATTGTATTATGGTATATTTAAAAAGTTGTCCTATATATTATTTACTATTATTTTCTTACTGTTCTAGCTTACAAAGTAAATTAAAAAAAATTTTTTTTTTGTTTACATTCTCAACCAAAGATTTCCCTCCCTCCTCTCCAAGTTTTTCCCTGTACCTCTCTTCCCCACTTCTCCTCCCCTGTTTCTCTTCAGATATAGGTGTGTTTCCTGTGGATATCAGCCAGCCATGTTATAATTAGGTTGCAGTGAGACTAGGCACCTCCTCTATTAATTGTAAATATCCTCTTGCTTTTATTATACATTTTATGCATAATATTATGATATCCTGCTTCCTA